GCATTTCTTAGCGAACTTCGGCGACCTTGAGCGTATCTATCTATCTATCTATCTATCTATCTATCTATCTATCTATCTATCTATCTATCTATCTATCTATCTATCTATCTATCTATCTATCTATCTATCTATCTATCTATCTATCTATCTATCTATCTATCTATCTATCTATCTATCTATCTATCTATCTATCTATCTATCTATCTATCTATCTATCTATCTATCTATCTATCCGCCTACGAGTTTTAACTCTCCTAGCCATTTCGATCGTGGTATCGATACCAAATTTGGTATGGCATAGCATTACTGTATGAAGAACATACTTGACTAGTCAGAACATAAAAATCATGACATGTATGTCATGAATGTCATAACTTACATTTCATGGTCCTGACGCTCTTACGCTGGTTTAGTTCACATGGCATGTTGCAAAACTGGTATGGTATGTCATGATTGCATGGCGAACACAAGTGACAAACCCTAACATGAAAATCATGAAATGCGTGTCATGTAACCACATGGCTGCATGCCACACACGTCATGCGCTCGTGGCCGTTTCGCTAGCGTCACATATACCGAATTCGGTATTACAGTAGGTGAATGGATAATGAAGGTATGTGACCAGTGGAAACATAATAATCATGAGATGCATGTTACGTCACAAAATGACTACATGCCATGCTCATGATGCGCTAGTGGCCGTTTCGCTAGCTTCACTTATACCAAATTTCGTATTACGGAACGTGAATAGAGGACGAAAGTATGATACTGGTGCAAACATGATAAACATGAGATCCTTGTCTTGTAGCAACATGTTTACATGCTACGCTCATTGCGCGCTCGTGGCCGTTTCGCTAGCTGCAGTTGTACCCAACTGGGTACTACGCCACGCGAACAGATGACGTAAGTAAAAGACACATCCAAACATGATGATCACGACATGCATCTCATGTAAGAACATGACTACATGCCCCACTGACGATGCTTCTCACGGCCGTTTTGCTAGCATGACATGTGTCAAATTTCGTATTACGTGACGCCAATAGATGGCGAAGGTACGTGACTGCAGTGCAAGCAGGATAATCATGATATGCGTGTCACGTGAGAACATGAATACTTGCCACAGTCAAGGCGTCAATACACTTCGATGTGACGTGGTGCGCGTGCTCACTGGCGTTCATTTCGTCGCGTCACGCCGGTGTTGCCACGCCGGGCGCCGGTCCTGCCATATACTCGCAGGCGCGCGCCTTGCTGCGTTGCTTTCACGCGTGCGCGTTTCAGCGCGTCCGGTATCCCTCCCTCACGGAAAGAGGGAGACGCAGTGTTGTCCGGGCAACGCATTGGCGTGAATTGTAGCATGTCGCCTTTCATGCCGGTTGCCGTCGGGCCACACCGACGGACGCTGGTCGCGCCTGACGTCAGAATATAGAATGCTCACGTTTTCCTAAAATAGCGTCAGTGTGCCCAGTGTGCGCGCGCGTCAACGCTACCTTGGAGTATATTGGGCCTTTCATGAAGCGCCCGCGGCCGTTTTGCTAGCGTCACTTATACCGAATTTGGTGTTATGTGACGTCAATAGATGACGACATATATGACTGATGCAAACATGATAATCCTGACACGCATGCCATGTGAGAACATGACAACAACCCACGCTCATAGCGTGCTCGCGGCCGTTTCGCTAACTTCACATATACTAAATTTGGTATCACGTGACGTGAATAGATGACAAATGTAAAGAACACATCAAGACACGAGAATCACGACACGGAAGTCATGTATGGCATCATTTATCTCCACCTTTTAAACCAGAACGTTGTTCTCGTTTTAAAGTGACATATCAACATTTCTTATTAGTACTTAACAAATCATCGCTTCCCTCTATACGTGGGATCTGCCTGTTTTTGTATACTGTTAATCGTGGTCGTAAAACAACCCCTCGTCCTTTACCAACGCGTACGCGCGCTTTTTACGCCATCATAATCATCATTTCTATATGACTCAGCGTGCTGTAGTCAGGTGCTGCGCATGCACGAGGGAATTCATACACGAACGCTGCTCATGCTACGCACGTGAGAACAGAGTGACATGCTCTTTGTGTCGACGAAGCCGACCTTTGCATTCTGACGTCTATGACAACGTTAGTTAAGGTCACATTCTACCCTTTAGGCACCAACATAGGTAACGTGCGTTTCAATCCTGCGAGGTACACACAACTGCTCAACTTGCCTAATGACGTAAATGGACTCTACGACGCTTGGCTAAAAGCTAACCAATGCCCCATTTGCCGCTTTACTCTGACTGCTTGGCATGAAGCCATTCTGGAAGGCGCAGGTGCGTTTGTAGATTTTTTCTCTAGGCTACAATTATCCGTGAAAAAGTGATCAGTTAATCTCTCTTTGGCACTAAGACTACCGGTGATGCCCATGGACTCTTTGGCAGCTGAATCAGGTCATCGCGTAACGTTTTCTCGAATTGCCCTTGTCTACAGGGCTTAGCGCCAGTATTGATCTTCATGTGGTTCTTTTCAACTGGCTAATGCAGTCTTTTAGGGAGCTTTAGCAATTTTGTTGAGCTCCAAAAGTGACAGATGTCTCTCTGAAAATACGGTGAAAATTTTCAATAATATGTTTACCAGCCTTTGTGTTAGCATATTGTCACGGGGTCTAGATAGATAGATCTATCTATCTATCTATCTATCTATCTATCTATCTATCTATCTATCTATCTATCTATCTATCTATCTATCTATCTATCTATCTATCTATCTATCTATCTATCTATCTATCTATCTATCTATCTATCTATCTATCTATCTATCTATCTATCTATCTATCTATCTATCTATCTATCTATCTATCTATCTATCTATCTATCTATCTATCTATCTATCTAGCCGATTACAACATTTAGCTCTCCTGGCCTTTTCCATAATAGTATCAGTACAAAATTGCTATGGCATAATATGACTGTATAACGAGCATAAGTGTCTAGTCATAACATGAAAATCATAGCATATATGTCATGAATGGCATGACTTACATGTGAAGGTCTTGCTGCTTCAGAGGTGGTTTCGTTCACATGACATGCTGCAAAACTGACACGGTATGACATCACTGAATGGCGAACACAAGCGACAGACCCTAACACGAAAATCATGACATGCGTGTCATGTAACAACATCACTACATGACACACTCATGATGCGCTCTCGGCCGTTTCGCTAGCTTCGCATATACCAAATTTGGCGTTACGGGACGTGAATGGATGATGAAGGTATGTGACTGGTGCAGACACAATAATCATGAAATGCGTGTCATGCAAGAACATGACTGCAGGCCACACTCTAGCCAGCAGTAAACTTCGACGTGACCCGGCTCGCATGCGCGGCCGCGTTCGTTTTGTCGCGTCATGCCGACGATGCCACGCCAGGCGCCAATCTGTCTGCCATAGTCTCGCAGGCGCGCGCCACGCTGCTTTGCTTTGACGCATGCGCATTTAAGCGTGTCCTACCGTCACGAAGAGAGCCAGATGCGGTGCTGTCTGGGGATTGTCGTTGGCGCGAAATGCAGCATGTCACATATTGCGCCGGTGGCCGCCGGGCCGCGACGACAGACGCTGGGCGCGCGGGTTGCGCCTGGCGTCAGACTGTACAGTGCTCGCATTTTGCTGGCGTAGCGTTGATGCGCCCAGCGTTCGCTAGCTTTATATATACCAAGTTTGGTATTGTGGGACGTGAGTGGACGGCAAAGGGATGCAACTGGCGCAAACATGATAATCATGACATGCGTGTCATGTAAAACTGGGCTATATACAACGCTCATAGCGCTCGTGGTCATTTCGCTAGTTTCACATATACAAAATTTGACATCAGGCGACATGAATGGAAGACAAAATAAAGAACACTCGAAACATAATAATTTTGCCAATGAAATCATATACCGCATAATATACGTTCGCTTCGTAAAGTTGTGCTGATTTTAAAGTAACATATCAACATTGCTCATTCGTGATTCGCATATCATCGATTCCCACTGTACGTGGGATCTGGCATTTTTTTATGAAAGGCGACGATCCGCACATCGAAGTAAGATATGCTTATAAAAAAGAAGGATCACTCTCGCAGCCTGCCGCTTCACAAATATAACTTTCAGTATTGTATTACCCAGACTTGAGTGCGGAAATATCCAAGTCATTCCGTCGCCACCTGGAGACGCTAAGTTATTGTCTTCAACAGAATGTGCAATACAGAAAGAGTTTACAATACTGTATAGGGCATACCTCTAGTTGATGTTTTCATAGCTGTAGCAGGTAGAGGCACTGGAGCGGCTTCTACTCAAATAATCCGCGTACTGAAATGAGTGACTATTGTGTAAACAAGAAATGAACGTGGTTAGCCACGACTAATTAATCTGCTGAACATATTAGGCCAAGTGCGCGCATCTTCAAACCAACCTCTTGTTGTACAGTCATTGGCTAATTACATGTGCGAAACTTCATCACTAATTCTAAAATACCTAACTTAGAAAAGCCCTAATATACTTTACCCTAACTGCAAATAGTTTCATCTTGTTCTCTTGTACATTTCATATATCATATATTGTTGTTACTCTTTCCTCTCTTATTCTGAATTTATTTAAATCCCGTTTTTCATCCTTATAAAGTGTAGTATGCCAGCGGTATATCGACGCCATCGAAAATCTACATGTCTAATAAATAGTCTCTCCTTCCTCTGTCAATGTTACAAAATAGATTATTTAAATACACAAAGCTGAGAGAGTTCATGGTCCGTTGCATTGGGAATGTCGGGTGTTCCTTGTTTTAAAAAGCTTACTGTGAGTCTGTCGCGCCAACCCATGGAATGTGCGTAGGTGTAGCAACGCTCGAAGTTCACACACGAAGGGATGACTGAAATGAGGGTTAACGGCCTGTAAAGAGCACTTAGTGTATCGGCAGTGACTTTGTAGCTCTGACACGCATAATAGTCCGGGCACGTGAATGAATGCTGATAGAAAGTCCCTGCTCAGAGCGGCGCTAGAGTTGTAGTTTACGAAGCAATATTAACACGTACTTTTCTTTACAAAATTCAGGTGGCTGACATTACGGGATGCTGACTTGAGAGTTATATATGATGCTTCTGTAAGGAATGTGACCTGCTCTTCTATATTCGTAAGGTGCACAGATCTGGTCTCCATAGCTCAAAAGGTAAGTCATTTTTATAGCCACATCTATTTAGTTGTTCTTTAAGGTATAGAAAATAGATATTATCATGAGCCAGATAATGTGCATATTTAAAAAGGCCCTACAACGATTTCGGGGTATAGTCAGCCAACTATCCGTAGTCGAGGCCCCTGAGATCACCCAAGAGAAATACCGGAGCACAGTATACGGCCTAGAATATAGAATGAATTCTAAAATTGAGATAAAAGTCGCTTTCTTGGCAACGAGTCACGAGAAATGACTTAGTAAGCTGAAATGACGTTGCTTCACAGGCCCTCCTGGAGAGCTCGGGTGTTATTGGGGCCGCCTCGGGAGGCGGTGACGTGCCTTCTAGCGCACGCGTCATTTCACTGAAATGCAACGCATACCAGAAAAAAAAGAGAAAACGCGCTTAAGGATACGAGGCTGGCATGACGTATCTTCTTCCCCCGTGACATTTCTTTCTGTTTAGATTCCAGCAGTTTAGTTGGTACGAGACAATACATAAGGCATTGGCATCGTACGACAAATCTCGGTGGATTTCGTGCTGAATGGTTATGTCGTCCATGACCTTCGGTGCCAGTGTAGCTCTCGCCGATCGGCTCGCCGTTCACGATCTCTTGGGGCCGTGTTGCTCTTGCCAATCGCTGCCCCGTCCTCTCTCTCCTTTTTTACAGTGGCGTCATCTTCTCTCTCTTTTTTTTTACATTGGCGTGCGGCAAGTGTTTCATCTTTTTTATGTTTATACTATTCTTTCTATCCTCTTCTCTTTTCCCAACAAGAAATTTAGCCTTGGCGCAGCATTCGTGAGAAAAAATTTTGCTCTTTTTTTTGAAAAAGACACTACAAGCCTTAGCTACACTTGTGCTGAATGGAATTCGAAAGCATTTGTGGTGGTCAATTAGTGAGGCAATGTGCTCCTTTAGTGAATCTATTCAATGGCTACTAGTAAAAGCATCGCAGCGTCTTTTTAAGAGGATATCTACAAGCAGAAAGGTCGCATAGAAGCTATCTAATGACTTAATTATTCTAGCCTTCTCTTAAACAGGGGAATGAAGGTTGCCCGAGCACTATGGGTTTTCTGAAAAATGAAAGGGAGCACTAAACGCTGGTTTGCCACAGTGCAGCATGTGAGGCATATGTATTTAACACCATTGTCACTACCAACGCAGTTGAATGGCAATTGCGTTGAACATCCGACGCTGATAAGAGCGAGAAAGCAAAAATAGAACTACTCAAAATATGAACAAGCAATACTGTCAAAAGCTATGGAATATTTTAAATTTTGAAATTTCACATAACTTTCACGCACGTTTGCATAAGAAAAAAAGGTCCACATTGAAATATCTCGTAACAGCTTTGTTTGTCCTTAGCCAACATAATGAACTGAATTATGGGACAATATGAAGCTGACAGTGAAGGTTGATGGCTCGCCAAGTTTTGTACCGCAGGTATTTTTATAGTCCAAGTGATTCATAATATTGAAGGAAGCGCACAAGAGCAATTGAGTTTGTTTTTAGCGCTGCTAACGTGTACCCACTAAGAGTTATAACACATTAAACACTACATCTTTTCGCAAGGAAGTCCGATCACATGGCGTCTATTAGACACTTGTTGAGGATAGCAAGGACCAGTATAGTAAAGGGGGTACTGCAATGTGGTGCTTAGCCTTCGCAAACGAAGCGTGTTCATGTTTCCGATAAAATAAAATGGGCAGATATACGTACAGTGGGAATCGATGATATGCGAAGCACGAATGAGGAAGGTTGATATGTCACTCTAATATCAGCACTATGTTACGATGTAGGGGTAAATGAGGCCATACATGACTTACTTGTCATAATTCTCATGTTTGGATGTGTCGTTCACTTTCGTCATCTATTCACGCCACGTCATATCAAATTTAGTATATGTGGAGCTAGCGGAACAGCCGCAAGCACGCTAGGAGCGTGGTATGTTGTCATTGTCTTAAATGACACGATTGTGAGCATTATCAGGTTTGCGCCAGTCCTATATTTTTATGATCCATTGACGCCACGTAACACCAAGTTTGTTATATGTCGACTTATCAAAATGGCCTCGAGCACATCACGAAGGGCCCAATATACTCTAATGTAGCGTTGACGCGCCTGCATGCTGGGCGCAGCGACGCTTACTTAGCAAAACGCGAGCACTCTGTGGTCTGACCCCAGGCGCGACCGGCGCGACCAGCGTCCGTCGGCGCGGCCCAGAAGCAACCGGTGCGAAATGCGATGTGCTCAATTTCGTGCCGATGCCTTACCCAGACAGCACTGCGTCTCCCTCTCTTCGTGATGGAGGGACGCCAGACGCGCTGAAACGCGCACGCGTCAAAGCAACGCAGCGCGGCGCGCGCCTGCGAGTATATGACAAAAGCGGCACCTGGCGTGGCAACGCCGGCGTGATGCGATGAAATGAATGCCGGCAAGCATGCGCTGCGTCACGTCGATATGTATTGGTGCATTGACTGTGGTATGTGATCATGTACTCACATGACACGCATCTCAAGATTATCATGTTTGCATCAGTCACCTACCTTCGTCTTTCATTGACGTCTCGTAATACAAAATTTGACATATGTGAAGCTAGCCAAACCGCCGTGAGCACATCATGAGTGTGGCATGTAGTCATGTTGGTACACGACACGCATGTCATGTTTATTGTGTATGCACCAGTATCATACCTTCGTCATCCATTCACGTTCCGTACTACCGAATTTGGTATAAGTGAAGCTAACAAAACGGCTGCCAGCGCATCATGAGCATGGCATGTAGTCGTGTTGTTACATGACACGCACCTCATGATTATCATGTTTGTACCGCTCGAATACCTTCGTCATCCATTCAATTACCGTAATGCCAGATTTGGTATATGTGAAGCTAGTGACACAGCCGCGAGCGCATAGTGAGCGTGGCATGTAGTCATGTTGTTAAATGACATTCATGTGATGATTTTCATGTTAGGGTCGGTCACTTCTTTTCGGCATGCAATCATAGCATACCATACAGGTTTTGCACCATGCTATGAGAACGAAACCACCGCAAGAGCTACGCGACCATGAAGTGTAAATGATGACATTAATGACATACATGTCATGATTTTCATGTTTTGACTAGTCAAATATGTTTGTCATACAATCATGGTATGCTATACCAAAATTGGTATCGACACCATTATCGAAACAGCCAGGAGAGCTAAAAGTCATAGGCGGCTAGATAGATACATTGATAGATAGATAGAAAGATAAATAGATAGATGGATAGATAGATAGATAGAGAGATAGATAGATAGATAGATAGATAGATAGATAGATAGATAGATAGATAGATAGATAGATAGATAGATAGACAGATAGATGGATAGATAGATACACTCAAAGTCGCCGAAGTTCGCTAAGAAATGCTTCGCATTTAAAAATATGTCTGATCTCTCTGTCGTAAGAATCAGTATAACGAGAAATAGAAACGCGTCTTCATATATGTAGTTGAGGTCGGAGGTGTGAGTGCTAAAGGAACAAACTTTAAGATGAGGCAAAGAACTGCAAGTGACTTGAAACTTCCAGCACGTTCCTTAAGCAGAAAGGGCGCAAGAAAAGAACATTCAGAGGAGAAGCGCGAACTTACATCTGTCGCAGCTCGACACATAAAGCGCTCTGCTCAAACACAACTATGGACGCACAAAATGAACACACAAGTATACATAAGACGAGCGCAAGCTAACAGTTGCCAGAATTGTGGCGCGTGTGTTCTGCGTTTACCGCTTGTCTTTGTTTAAAGTGTGCGACGTCAAAACCGATAGTTGAGTGACAACTGCGTGCGCCAAGCTACCTTTGTAAATGCTGCGTCATGACATAGTGTCACAAGTGTAGACTGGCCAACCATCTGAAAGAGGCCGCAGATGGCAACATTTCCACAACATGGCAGGCGAAGCCAGTAACAATAAACCCAGGGTTCATGCACCTACCATCGCTGGATTTAGGAAAAATATGTTTGAGTGGCTGGCGTAGATCAACCACTTCGATGACTACCACTTCGCCACTAGTCTCAATGAATATCTGAGAGGGGCTCATGTACGCGTGCTACTTTACACAAGGAACCGCGAAGCCCGCGAAGTCTTTGAAACATTTGAGCTAACCGGAGAAGCAAACAGTTATGTTGTCATGCAGAAGTTCGACAGTCACTTAATCAAAGAAATAAACAATGTTTATGGAAGTGCCTGCTTTGACAGACGCCAGCGACGGACAGAAAAAAAATGTATCACTTCGAATCCGCTCTTCACGTGCTAGCAGATCACTGTGACTTCGGGGTTATCAAGGAGAGATTCATCCGAGAGTGGTTTGTTGTCATGTTCGGGGATACTAAACTATGTGAGGCTTTTCAGTTGAACCCGCAGCTGACATTCGCTTTGATGCTGGCCAAGGCTTGCTTCAAGGAAGCCACGCGACCGTAGCAACAGAGCCTTCTACCAGAAATTCAGTATCCTGCAAGAAATTCAGAACTAGATCCTAGGCACCATCATGCACGCCGTGGGCCACCAGAAAAGCCCCCAACACAACGGGGGACGGCGTCTCACTGCGTTTGCAACGCGCACCCGAGGTCGATGTGCCCTGCCCGAGATTCTAAGTGCCGCTACCATGGTAACAAACGACATTTTGCGAGAAGCTACCTCGAGAAAACTGGGTCAGCAAAAAACGAAAAAGGTACGCGTCTGGGCTGTCGAACGCGATATCGGAGAAACTTTCATTGGCGCGATTGATGTGGCCGGGGAAGCGGCATATTTGCATGTTCTAGCATGGTTGATTCGGGTGCAGATGTGTCGGTTCTGCCTTCTACAATTACAGAATGCCCACCCACTTGAATAACGCAGACAAGGTCTCACGGTGGACTGGCAGCAACAAGCTCAGAGTTCTAAACAAGTCCATTGCAGAGGTTGCGTGAAAACAGAAGACTGTCCGTTAAACGTGCCATGTCATTAGCCTCCTCCCCACG